TGAAAAGCCATCTTGCATTGTTCCCGGTCCGGCTTCCTGCTCGCCCGCACCTCCTCCCGCGCGCGTCTCCGCCGCCGCCGCGACTCGAGCAGCTATCGCCAGAGTCCCCGAACTCGCGCTTTCTTTTCCGTCCCCTGCATCGGATCACCGGCGTGCCCCACGATGTCAGACGCGGCCGTGGACACCAGCTCCGAGATCACCACCAAGGTGAGGCTGGACGCCGCCCGCCCCCTCGGGGTCCGCGCGCCGCCGCCCGAGCGGTGTGTGGCGCGCGGCAGCCGGGCTGCCCCAGGCAGCTGTTGCTCTCTCCCTCGGGGAGCCCGCACGCCCCCAGCGCGGTCCCCCCAGGCAGCCCACTCTTTGTGTGCGGAGGAGGGGGCGGGAAGCGCCGCGGCAGCCGTGGAGCCCGTGGGGGAGTGGGCCCGGCGGCCGGAGGTAGGCGCGGAGGCTGGTCCGTAGCTCTGGAAACTTGTTTGTGGCTCGTTTGAGCGGCAGCGGGAGGAGAGGGGCCGGGTTGGGGGGTTTTCGGCCCGCCGGGCGCACAGAGGTAACTTTGAAACTCGAGCGCGTTGAGAGTCGGAAGTGATGGGGGCGCGTGTGCGGGCGCGGGCCGGCTGCGGGAAGTGGCGGCTGGCCCCTGCGGGTTGCCTTCCCCTTTGTTCGGCGCCCGGCGGCGGGTTTCGCGCCCTGCAGCCCGCCCGAGGTGGCTTTATCTGTGCTAACCTCTGACAAGGCGGATGGGGCGGCGGGCGGGCCGGCCGCGACGTCGATTGTCTCCGCGGAGGTGTGACGGGCTTCTGGGTGCCCTCCGCGGGGAGTGCGCAGCGAGCGGCCGCCAGCTCCAATAATTCACCAGCGGTGCCGGGCTGGGCTGGAGAGGCGGCGAGCCCACGCGCCGGAGGGGGAGGAAAGAGAAAGTGAAGCAGCGGCGCGCCGGGGGCCTATGGGCGCCCCCCGCGGCTGCCTGGGAGTACGGTGAGCGCGGCGGCTCCGGGGGCGACGCGGGCCAACACTGCGGCCGCGGCTGGCCGGAGTCGGGGCCGAGCTGGGGGTGTGCCCGGGGCCCTGTGGCGAGTTCGCCGCCTTGGCTTTGGAGGGTCTGCGCGGCCGGCGCGCTCCGCTCCGCTCCGCGCCGCGCGGGTCGCGGCGCTCGCAGACGGACTGGCTTTTTCCCCTCCTTATCCTTTGGCCTCGTTCCTCGCCCCTCGTGTCCCTGTGGGGATCGGCGCGAGTCACCTTGGCGTCTCCTTAACCCTTGTGCCCCTGGCGTCACCTCCGGCTCTCAGGGGCGACTCCCCTGGCGGACTGGAGCTCGGCCGGCATCTCCGCAGGGGCTCTCGGCGGCCCCCTCGGGGCCCTTCCTGGGAACCAGTGTGGCAGGGTTCTCCCCCCTAGCGCGCAGCTCCGGCGTTTCCTTTCCTCGGGGTGGTTTGCCCCGAGAAGCGCGTCCCCGACGGCCTCGGGCCGAGGAACCGAAACAGCCCCGCGGACTTGCGGCAGGCTCCCGCGGGACTTTGCCCGCCAAATGCAGAGATGCAGGCCCGCGCGCCTCGCCTGCCAGGGCGACGGCAGGGGGCGTCCAGAGGCCGGAGACCCGCGCGCAACTGGGCGCGCGGAGCGTGGCGAGCGCTGCCAGAGGGCCTGGATTCCCCAGGGCTAGGGGTGCATTCGGCGTCCTCGGGCCACGTGCTCCTCGAGCGCGGTGCGTGCGGAGGCCCGCGCGCAAAGCCCGCCGGGCGGGGGCTGCGCGCCTGCGCGCCGCGACCTCCCCACCCCCACCCATTCCCCGGGGCTTCGGCCGCCAGGGGGCGAGAGCGGGCGGGTCCGGGGCCCCTGGGGGCCGGATTGGCCCGAGGGAATACTGCAACAGGTGGCCCGGGGGCACTCACTGGGCGCTGGCCGAGTGGCTCCCTGAGCCTGGGCTGCCGGACGCCAGTTTGTGTTGGGAGACGACTCGGGTTCTTCCAGGTGGAAACAGTTACGGGGCTTTGGGGTACTCGGAGCTGCCCTGCCTTCGTGGTCTGCTCCGAGGCGAAGTCTGAGGACACGGAGCCGCTGTGCGGACGGCGAGAGTGGGGGGACAGCCGGTCGGTCCAGGCAGTGGCGGGCCCTGGGCATAGGGCAGGTCGCCTGCGGCTGCACCCATTTCTAGGCAACGGTTTGCGTCCTCCTGGGACAGCGGGATGTGGGGATCGGCGTGGTTTGGGTTTCTTCAGAGACCTGCGCTTGCCAGGGCCTGGACTCTGGCTGGCCAGGTGGCCTCCCGCGCCTGCCCGTCCCAGGCTAGTCCACCCATCAGAGTTCTCCCGCCGTGCCAGGCCCCGCCCTCCAGCGCCTGATTGACAGGCGTACCTGCCCCCTCCCGGAGGGGGTGGGGGGCGGAGCGCCCCCTGGGTGGAAACGGCCTGTGACGACTTGTGGGAGTGTCTGCATCTCGCCTGCCCGGCCCGACGGGTTTGGGGCTGTGGTGCCACATGGTTCCTTTCCTAAGAAGATGAGGGAGTAGCGGGAGCCCCATGTGGGCCCGTTCTAGTCTGTGTTTGAGGGTCGGGAAATCGTGGGGAATCTGACCACAAACTCCGATATCCTTCCAGACTCGGTAACACGCGACCCTTAGCTTTGGATGTGCACAGCCCTGCGTCTCTAGTCCTCAGCCCCTTTGCCTGCCCTGGGCTGCTCAGAAGACTCACTGGTTCCCTCTTCCCTTTTGAAGGACTTAAAGGAGAAGAAGGAAGTTGTGGAGGAGGCAGAGAATGGACGAGACGCCCCTGCCAATGGGAACGCTGTGAGTGGCCACCTTGCTCGCGCGAGCCCTGGCAGCTCCCGTCCCAAGAAGTGTTTCCTGGTCTGATTTTGGGTTTGGCCCAGGGCGGGAAAGGAGACCGAGGCCCTGGGCAGTTGTGGTGTCAGGGTTGCCACTGGACCTTGGTTGGAAGGGTCTCTTAGGTGCTCTGGAAGCATCAGGCAGCCCTGGAGGGAGGGGTGAGGGGGTGGGGGGCACAGCTGTGCCCTCTAGCCCCGGGCCAGCTGGTTAACTGCTGGGTGTGTGTTCTGTCGAGGAGAACGAGGAAAATGGGGAGCAAGAGGCTGACAATGAGGTAGATGAAGAAGAGGAAGAAGGTGGGGAGGAAGAGGAGGAAGAGGAAGAAGGTGATGGTGAGTAGCCTTGTCTGGCAGGAGGGGAAGGGTTCCCTGGAGAAGGGACCGTGGTACTTGGGAACAGTGGCCTTGCACCTGTGGAGTCAGGGCCTCCGTTGTTTTGGGCTAGTGACATGGAGCTGTGCCACACACCCGCCCACACTCCACCCACACGCTTGCTCTGCCCCTGGACAGAGCCCTTCGGAGCTTTGAAAGCCACTGACTGCTCATCTGCTGGGTTGGCCTCTGCCCATGCGGCCACTTGGGCCCTGGCACTGTGACAAGTACATGGGTGGGTGTGGGTGCCTGACCCGTGCAGTTTGTGGGACAGCAGAGGCAAGTCCAGGGACAATCCACCCTGACATATCTGTTCCTGGGAGAGTCCCCAGGGAGCCCCAGTAGGAGGGCAGCGTGGTGTTTACCTGGTCCTTGATTCTCTCCAGGTGAAGAAGAGGATGGAGATGAAGATGAGGAAGCTGAGGCTGCCACAGGCAAACGGGCAGCTGAAGATGATGAGGTAGGGTCTGGCTTGAGAACGGTGGGGGTTTGTCATCTGAGGTCCCCCTACCTCTAACAGGAGTTGTACTTGAGGCACCAAAGGTAGAAGGAAGGAGGGAATGATTCCAACTTTTTAGTTGGGGATATTGTGTGCATCTGAGTGGGTCCCTTATCCTAAAGCAGGAATGGGGAGGAACATGGGCACAGGCCTGGGGTCTCAGCAGGCTTTGGGGCTGCCAGTGCCTGGTCCTTGCTCTGCCAGCAGGAGGTGAGGAAGGTGGCGAGGTGGGGGGACTGATGGCGTTGGAGTGGCCTTGACAGTCTTTTTCTACCCAGGATGATGATGTTGATACCAAGAAGCAGAAGACCGACGAGGATGACTAGACAGCAAAAAAGGAAAAGTTAAACTTAAAAAAAAAAACAAAAAGGCCACCTGACCTATTCACCCCTCCACTTCCGTCCTCAGAATCAAAAAACAGTAGCGTCACACTATCGAAAGATAGAGAGCCCGCCGCCCACCGTGGGCATGCCAGCCGGCTGATGACACGCGCTCTCCCACCACCCAACCAAAAACCACCAAGAATTTGCAACAGGGGGGAGCGAAAAAAAGAACCAAAAACTTCCAAGGGCCCTGCTTTTTTTCTTAAAACGTCTTTAAAAAGAATTTGGTTTTGTATTTTTTATTTACTTTATATTTTTGTACATATTGTTAGGGGTCAGCCCATTTTATGATCTCGGGGATGACCAAACCAGCCTTGGGAGCCGTTCTCTGCTCTACTTCTGACTTTACTTGTGGTTGTGACCATGTTCATTATAATCTCAAAGGAGAAAAAAACCTTGCCTTAAAAAAGCAAAAACAACAGACAAAAAAACATCTATATCGGCATTCCAGCTAACTTTTTTTGTGTATGTACTTAGCTGTACTATGAAGTAGTTGGTTTGTATGAGATGGTTTAAAAAGGCGCCAAAGCATAAAAAGGTTTCTTTTTTCCTTTTTTTGTCTATGAAGGTTGCTGTTTATCTTTTTTTTTTTGGTCCTGTTTGGATGTATGTGTGAAACAATGTTGTCCAACAATAAACCGGAATATCTATTTTGCTTGGAGTTGTTCTAAACAAAGCTGTCTCAAGCACTGATTTTTCCGTTTCAGTTTCTTTTCAGGACTTTCAGGTAATCCTAAAAGCCCAGGCCTAGCCTATCCTGGTGACAGTGGGGTGAAGGTACCAGTTTTGGGATGGGGCCTGAGGAGTGTGGGGTGACCTGCCGGCAGGGGGCTGGCCGTCAGGAACTGCGCTGTAATTGGGGCTGGGGGGGCCTGCTCCCTGCACTCCAACTACTGCTGATGGCTACCAAGGAGGTCTTCTTGCGGACTCTCTCATCACGGATGCCACGTGTATCCACAAGCCTCAGTGGGAGAAACAGGCCACAAAGGGGCGGCTGCCGCTCTTTTGGAACTTCAGGGTGTATGGTGGCACAGATTAAGTGAACTTGGCCAAACCTCTTTGAGAGCCCTGAACTAGGGTGGCCTTGGGCCTGTGTGGGCGTTGCTCAATTTAGCTCACCATGAGTGGCTCCTCTGGTGGTATGTGGATCAGTCCTGGCCCCTTAGACGCTGGAGCTTTTTTATTTTCCCAGTGCTACTGAATGCAACTTGCCTGTTCTCCAACCTCTGGTTTCAGGAGAACTTCAAGTCCCTTGGTTAGTTGGCAGCCCCACCATGCCACTTGGCCACAGTTGGATTATAATACTGGGGCACTTCAAGACAGGCCTGTGAGCAGTGGATCAGGAGAGCCAGCTGGCGGAAATTGCATGAAGGCTCAAGCCCTCAGAGTAATGAGACCCCGCCAAGAATCTTCGGGTCCTCAGATGAGGAGAACCCTCTGCAAGCCTTCTGGTGTGAGCCCTTAAATAAGGGATGTGTCCATTCTGCAGGGGTGCCTTGCAGCATCCTCGACTGAAGGTAAAACCCTGTTCTCAGCAGTTCTGCAGCGACTGCAGCCTCTCCTGTGGAGGAGAGGGGGTTACCAGGGGGCCACAGGGTTGGGTTAGGGGGCAGGGAGATGAGGACTGGCTTTGGGAGTGCCTCACTGTCCCACAGGCCCAGGGGCAGCTGTGGGCAGGAGAGGGGTATGGACAGAGAAGGAAGCTCTTGTAGTTGACACTCCTCCTACCCCTGCCCCAACAGTCTGGTCTTGACGGTCTTGCTAACCTTTGAAAGCTGATGGAGGGAGGCACACTGCATTATCCAAGAAAGCCACAAGGGGATGCCAGCCCCACCTGACTGAGGAGACACTGGATTAATTTCATCTGCACCCTACCCTCCATCCCTTTCCCCCAAACTCAGGGTCCCCACCATTTCCACTAAAGAGTCCATGTTCCAACATGCCTATCAGTCGGGT